AGGCCCAGGCTGCGGCAGATTGTCGTCGGGCTGCGGGAACGGCAGCTTGTCGTCCGGCTCGGCCTCCTCGGCATCGAATACGATGTCAATCCCCTGGAGGTCGTCATCCAGGTCGGGTTTCAATGACTGTGATTTGTTCGATTTGTTGTCAACATCAGCTGCCTTGGACTGTGCCGGTGAGTCGTTGGAAGCACCTGCGATGTGCTGGCGCTCTTTCTGTCGGGCCATGAAGACGTCCACGTGGACGGACGGCGGACGGCCACTTGAGGACCCGATCCGAGGGATGGCAATCACGTTGGGACTGGCGCCATCAGTGTTGCGCTCTCTGGCGACATAGTCGTCCACATGCATTGAGGGGGGCCGGCTGGTGTTGGGCTTGCGCTGCCGAAAAGTGTCCCTGCGAGTTGGGCCTTGGAGGGAGAGGGATGGGGTTGCGGGCCCACGTGAGGCGGGCTCTGGTGCGGAATTGTCTCCGCGTGTGAGCCGGTTGGGCGGGTCCAGTGAAGATACTTTTCTCTTGGCCGAGAGGCCCGTCTGAGTCATTCGGCTGCGGAGATTCTCGGGGCACTCCCAGGAGAAGGTGGAGCCGAGCTCATCTGGGATGTAGTCTTCCATGCGATCCTTGCTTTTGTATGAGAATTTGTGTACCCTTGTGGAGACGGGCCGAGCAGATAAGGAGGCATAAGCGCTGGCAATGTCGGGATGTGATTCATCTGTTGTGGTGCTAGAGGATGTTTGCAACAAACGAAGCAACAACTTCAATGTCTCCTTGATCTGGACATGTATTTGGAAACCAAAAAAGAAAAAAGAAATTAAGAAACTTTGTCCAGGGAACAAAAATAGATGGAGTAAAGAAATATATAATAACCTGATGCAGTGTCGGAAGATCGTGAGATGCAGATTCAAAGTCCATATTGGATTCTAGTAAAACATTTGTGAGCTCCTCAATGTGCTTTAGGTTATTTTCGACAAAGCTTTCTGAAGAAGCATCACTCTTCATGCCAAAAAGCAATTTCATAGCAGCAACCTTCTCTGGTTTCACACTGATGAAAAAGCAACATACAAGGAATAAATGAAGACAAGTAGACAACATCAACATAATTTTTCTAGTGTTATCATTATTTGGGATATATGGAATTAGTGCGCCAAGTAGCTAATAGTACAGTTAAACCTAGTTTAAACTTCCACAGCCTCGAAGTGAAGAAATAACTTTTGAACAACTTAATGGGTTCATAAGGATGATAAGTTCTAAATTTCAAACAAAATATCAGCTTTGAGCATCACGGATGCATCTGCCAATAAATTGATTAAAAGAACAGCATTCTTGTTAAAAGAGAGAAATATAGCTGATTGAAAGGAGTGTTGTACACACATTCAATCGTAACAGTTTGATATTTGATCCAAACCAGCATAATAAACTGCTGTATGTAGATGGTAAAGAAACAATAACTGGAAAAAGGCTATCTGAACTAACCTTTCCCCATCCATACAAAAGCCCAACATGCCTGAAGCTAGCAAGTACAATGCTTCAGCAACTTCTATGGCAGGAACATCATTAGATTCAAACAACCTTATCAAATTGGTCCAGCAGCATAACATTGGAGGATGTCCCCACTCAGATGCACATATAACACCCCAATTAGCATTGGCTGTATGTTTAGTCTGAGGCTCAGAGTCCTGAACTGCAAATAACTGAATATGCTTCACCACAGTGAGTAAAGCATTTTGGCCTTCAGAGTAACAAACCATGTCTTTCAAGGCAGACAAACAGGCAAGTAATTCTTTCCCAAGTGGCAAAACCTACAATTTGAATGGAAATGAATATAAAATAAATGGGATCAACGTAAGGAGAAATGGGACGAGGCTCAAACACGAAATGAAGGTAAGAGTAAAAGGGAAGAAGAGAGAACGGAACATAGATGGTCAATCTACTAGAGCTCTCAACAAGCTCAAGTACAAAAAGATAGTACAAGTGACCAATTATATCCTGCTGTGCAGGTAAAGACAAAGAAAAGGAACATACCATGCAAAATCGAACGAGATATGAACAGAATGTGACGCATTCTTCATCTGTAAAACTATCCGGAACTTTCCTGTAAACAGAGTAAATCATCATTCATCACAAATGCATCTTTATGCAATCAAGTATGAAAAAATGAAGACACTTATGAACTTAATGTTTCTGACCTGTCGTGTGCTCCAGGATACTTCATTGATGCCCGGCCGTCATTAATCAATGAGATTGACTGGAACACCGGAACACACCAAGTAAGATGTGAAAATTCATATTTTGGGTATTCCTGGGCCAACCTAGCATCATAGTTGGCCGCTTCAATACACTTCTGGAGCACTTTCTTAAACATCTGGGAGGCATCCGCTTTCAGCAGTAGCGGCTGTCGTACAGATCACATGGAATAAGATGGAACTATCAAATCGTTACATCTCGGTGAAAAGTTCAAAAGGAAAGCAATATGAATTTCTTCTAGGATATAAAGAATACCTTAGCATATGGATGCTCCAATAAGATAGCAACAAACTTCAGTAATTGGTGAACCTGTACAGAAACACAAAGAATTGAAATTATAGGGACAAACATTGGCACAAGATGACAAGAATGACAGAAATCGTAAGTGTTCTTGACAACCTTGTAAGCATCCACATCAGATAATGTTGATACTTCTGAGAGGCAATGACTGATCCATGATATTATAGGTTTCACCATTTGTGAAGCATAATCAAGATTCAGATATGCAATCCGAATCACCAACACACGTAGAGCATCTTGTATGACAACTGACATCTGAGAAATGGACAATACCACCCATGATTTGAAATATGAGATCTATAGGCATACAAATAGAAACTAAAGAATTGGCGTTTTTCTAGAATAATCAACCATGAGAAATTATACGATAGCATTTAACTTGAATTGCTTTATGAAAATAATACATGTGCAACTTACACTGACAGCACAATGTAAAATAATCTCTCCAAGTTTCGCAAGTTGTGGAGACAATTGAGAAACTAGCTTCTCAGGATTTCCAGGATTCAGATACCAATTGATTTGTTTCTCTTTTTCTGGGCCCAGTATTGTACCACAGGCAATTGCTCTCAAGGGGCTCAGCATTGGCATCCCATTCTTCCATAGCCAAATACTTTCATCCGGAAACAAATCATTCTTGAGACACACAATGCAGCAGATATAGTCAGTTTCAAGTTTCAATTATCAGATATATTACTAAATACAGAATCTGAGAGTATTCCACACTGCTGATTGGAAAGTTCATATACCAGCAGGCAAAGTAAACTGCAAGTTTCCTTGGGACCCAGTGCCAATGATGAAGTTGCGTGAAGACCGTCCAAGACAAAATGAAAAAGGCCGGGAGTCCAGCTGTAAACTGGCCAACATGCTAGTGCAGATGCAATAAGATGGCAAACAGCTCCAAAACCAAGCACAAACTCAGGGCAAGAATGAGATAACTCTGTTGTGCAGGCAGCTAACTTAGGGCTGCATATGAAGATCCAATCAGACTACCTGAAGCATTTGTTTGTTATACTCAGTAAAAGGAAATAGAGTTGACGTTACCTCACTTCTCGGTGCAACTGTATGAGTGCATTCAACATTTTTGTGTTCTTGTGTTGCTCTTTCACTTCCTGAATTCAGTAAAGAGGCATGCTTCAATACTACATTTGATATCTCCATTATTAATAGATAGGATCAAGAAAAAGTGTGGAGCATAGTGCACAAGGTAGTAATGCATCGAACCTAATTATTTTTGGATAGCAACTAGTTGCGGAAGCAGTTTTCACTAAGAAATGAAAGTGTTGGCAAGACTTGGTGAATGA